GGGAGGGGGAGGGGGATGGATGGAGGTAATTATCAGAGACGAGTGTGGAGTGTTCACTGGAGAAATTTGCGTGGCAATAGAGACGCAAAAGGTCTCCACTACTTACGCCGCAGTGTGAAATCTCACGACTGTTAAAGGAGATTTTTAATGAATGATTGATTAATGAATGATTGATTAATGAATGATTTTTAGTGAAGCTTTTACGGTAAAAGTCAAAGGGAGCAGGATATACTGTCTAGGAGCACGGGCAACAACAGGGAATTCCCTTTGGCTGGACATCAGTTCAAACCAAACTTAAAAAAACTACTTAACTACTTAAAAGGTGGGGGTAGAAATAGATACTGATGCTTGTTAGCGGTAGGTATTCCAGCCCAAAGTTTGAAAGTAAATGTTTTGAACTTACGAGGTGATGATGGTGACTCATCAGGTCCTGGACTGTGGAGTCTTTTCGTAAGCCTTTTCTTCCCGTTGGAGGCACTACTTGGTGGCTCTGGTGGCTTTGCTGGGGTTTTGCAAACCTGGTAAACATTTTTCTGATGTCGGGTCACAGGTGCATGAGATGCATTTGTGACTACTGCAGACCATTCTTCATTAACTGGTGTCAAAGCAGTTCTTTCTCGTTTATCAGGGACAATTGGAGTTGTGTCTGATAAATGAGAAAAATTCAGATCAGTCACCAAAATTCTGTTTTGATAGCAAGGAGTGAAGTTAAAATATCATTGAATGGAACTTGTTACGAATGCAGCTTACCATCAACAATGGGTCTTTTAATAGGAGTCAAATAGTTCTTTGAGCTATCTGATTCTTGTCCTCTCTCCACTTTTTGAGAATCAACAGTAGTAGTGAGGGGCTGAAAAATAAACACTCATAAGCCATAAAAATTTCCATTTAACTCATTAAAAATACCAAGTAAACCCCTCAAAAAATGTGTCAGCCCAGTTACATGTCTAACCATATTATTCCTATAATTTCTGAAAGGTGTAGCACCAGGTCCAAAAATTCGGACAGGAAGTCCTCTCCTTTTCCGATTTAACATGAGAAAATATGTAGCTGTATTGTAATCATATTTCCATTTGCTCAGCAGTTCCCACATTTCTTCAGGAGTAATATTTTTATGCCGTGCTAAAATATTTACACACTGACTATCATGTTCCTTCATCTGAAAATTTCAAAAAAAAGAAAATGAGCAGAAATTTAACAATCTAAGGCTGACAGGAAGAAATATTTAAAATATAGTCAAGGTAAACATACATTACAAGAATTATTGAGTGGAATAGGTTCTCTAAACCCTCTCATTACCCACGGATGACTTAACAACTCGTCAACTCGAACTCTCTTTTTGGGATCGGTTTGAAGCATAGATCTAATCAGACGCCTACTTTCAGCAGTAAGCCATGCTGGTTCTTCATATTTTCCTTCCTGAAATTATAGATTCATTGTGTTAATCCTCCAGAAAATCTGAGAACACATAGAGAGAAAACTATCATCTCTTCATACCAGAATTTTTTTATATAGAGTGTCTATTTTATCATCATCAAATGGAAGAAAACCACATAAAAGTGCGTACAGCAAAACTCCCATACTCCAAACATCAACTTCATGTCCTGAAATAGAAAAATGTAAAGTACAGCTCCAAAAGTTGATTAGATTAAAAATAAAGACTTTAAGCCCAGCAATTTTAAGGGGTTTACCTAAATATTTTTTACCCAAGACAAGCTCAGGTGCAGCATATGTTGGAGAGCCACAAGAAGTGTATAAGAAACCAGTAAGACCTCCACTTGGTTTTGCACAAAGGCCAAAGTCAATAAGCTTCATATTTAAATCCTTGTCAAGCAGCACATTTTCCTGTCAAAAATTACAAAAAGTGCAATAAAAAGTGGAAAAACTCTAATACAGCATTTTGAAGTTTTCTAAAAATGTACACATACTGGCTTTAAATCTCTGTGAACAAATCCAAGACTATGCAAGTATGCAACAGCAGACAGTATTTGTCGAAATGCTGCTCTTGCCTCTTTCTCACTTAAGCGATTTTTTTCAACTGCAAGATAATGAATGACATTAGAGAGGAGATTTTCAAGGAGAGGTGAATAGAAAATAATATACAAACCTATATGATCAAACAGCTCTCCTCCTGAACAATACTCCACCACAAGGAAAAAGTGGGATTCTGTTTCAAGAACTTGATAAAGTTGACTAATGTGTCTGTGTGATAAAGACTGTAAGGCATCCAACTCGACACGCACTCTGTGCAAATTTTCCTGCAAAATAATTTTTGACATAAATTTCCCTGCCTTCTCAGCTGTTTTAAAATAGATAATTTTAACGCAACAAGGCCCAAATGCAACTTACCCCTAAACTTCGCTTTTCCATTATTTTTATAGCCACTTTCTCTCCAGTTAAAATGTGAGTCGCCAATTTAACTTTAGCAAATCCACCACAACCAATAGTTTTATCAAGCTCATAGAGCCCCCTTAGCACAGGATAAGGAGCCATTTGTGAAACACCTGTAAAGCAAAGAAAAATATAAAACTCAGTCAGTGTGAGCTAACCTCTCCAGCACATTAGAAGATATAAGTCAAAACTTATGAATGTAACTGCTTTTTAAACAGCTCTAAATTAATAGAAAAGTATGTTTGTTGTCTTGCGGTTTAAAGAGAACTATTGATAGATGTCATTTCATTTCATAAATACGAACTGAAACCTTCATTGTGGCTATCCATCACGGATATTGGGGTTTTCAGATCAACACAAACGTATTAGTGAGACAACACACCCGTAGTACCGCTCTTAGATCAACAGCTTTTCACGTATACTTACTAAGATGCAATGACTGGTAGAGAATAAAACCCAAAAACTTAAAATAACATCTGTGGCTTCGGTTTCATTCAAATTTGAATGCCACAGACGAACGTTTACAAAAGCAAAACAAAAACACGCTCCCGCTTCGGCAATGGCTGAGGGGAGGATTAGGACATGTTGGCGCTCGTCCTTTCTCAAGCGTGTTGCCCTCCTCTCCAGAGTTTTGTTAACGCTGACTAGTATTCAGGTACAATGTAACATGTCGCAATGCTACAAGTTTGTGGCGCTCGCTCGAGCAGAACAGTGAGTACTTGAGAGACTTGAACTGTTGTCCTGCCCTCAGCCACTGTGGCGCCAGCGGAGTATTGTCAGCCATAAGCATCGGCCACCAAACATGCAAGAGTGCCTGATGTGCTGCCTAAGCGCCGGGCGCTACCAAGTGCTGCCACCTGGCGACGCCAACGGTAAGTACTCCGTTTGCGCGGGTCCCTCAACACCTCCGAATGTCGTGCATTTCCTTCTATCCTAGGAAAAAAAAATTACCTTTAAGCTTGAGACGAAAATCACCTCTCTGCAACCGGTAGTTAAAACACCTCTCAGATCCGCGATCATTTTACATTTATAATTGTTATCAGAAATCTGGGCCCCACATTCCTCTTTTATACGGGGAATTAGAATTCAAAAATTCAATGTTTAAATGTATGGAAATGGCAGGTTGTGCACATGTAAGCGATGTAAGGTATAAATATCTTTCATGTATTTCAGGACTACATGTACGTGTTGTACGTACCTTCAAGTTATAATACATGCTGAAGAACTTAGATATACATTGGTCAAAGGTTTAAACCTATTAAATTAAGAACAATCTTTATGTATTTGTTTTTAAATCAGAGCTGTATGCTTGACTTTAAAAGATTTGGCTTACATCTAATTTGTGACAGTATGGTTGAGCATCAAAATACTTTAGGCAGTCGTCATTGAAAGGTAAGATTTTTGGTCTCTCAACTTAGAAAATCTTCCAAAAGTGTGATGATGGTCCAAAGTACAAATAGACAAAGAAGTTAGTTGAAAGTAGAATGGCAATTTAAGAACAAACTCTCTTTGAAAATCCAAGATAGTTCTAGGATTATGGAAGGGGGATTCAATGACAACTATTTGTATTAAATAAAGAAAACTTGTAATGATATCCAACTTATCCTATGGAATTATATAATCTAGTGTTACAATATAAAATGGTGATTTTATGCTATATACATTCAGAAATATAATGGCATTATTTCACTATAATACACAATACTTGGTCTAGTCATTTATAAAGAATACTTTAGTTACATCTAACAAAACACTATCACAACTTCTGATATCCACCTGCAACAAGAACGACTAGAATGTAAAGGATGATGGATGATTAAAGTCTTTTGATCGATACACTATGTGGTGATGAATGGTTAACGCAAACAACAAATTCAGAACTCTATTTAACTCTATAGAAACATTATTCACAATTTTTTTGAATATTAGAGGAGGTAACATGATCATTTTTGAGCAATATTGTACAATGTTCATGATGCTGAAGATCTGAAGAAAAATTAAAGGAATTTCAAACTGATGAATTTTTAGTCCCGTTAGATAAAAGCATAGATAGAAAAATCAATAGTGAGGACACAGGCAGGCAATGCCACTAGCCAGCCCATTGCTTTTTCTCAAGAGATCCAATAACACTATAGCCTAAGTTTCACTTAAAGTAACCATTGATACTTTTCACTAGACAAAATGCCAGGAAAATCGCAAAGAGCTGAACTAGACCGAGCCCCACTCCGACTCCAATGACGACGTTGATGTGCTGGTTCAGCCAGTCTCCCAGCGCCTGATAGCATCCCTGCAACAGATGGTGTAATGGTGTTATATGGTATGTATAACAGGAAGGCACG